TTTTCTATATTTATATATATTCAAATGTAATTTAATCATGTGATGCAAAGCTGAATTTTCAGCATCATTACTCCAGTCTTCAGTGTCACATGATCCTTCAGAAATCATTCTAATATGCTGATTGGAATATAAAACAATATTGGAATTTTGATTGGAATAAAAATCTAACTTTATGAATGTCTTTACTGTCATGTTTTATCAATTTAATGCATCCTTGTTCAATAAAGGTATTGATAAAAAGATACTGACCCCAAACTATTAAACAGTAGTGTGTATAGAGTCCAGAATATTACTAGAGATTTGGGTGTGGGCTGTTATGACCTAGACCAGTAAGCAACCAACTAGCACTAAATTCCCGTGCAGTGAGTTTTGCACAAGAATGCACCATTCACATTTACTTCAAATTCAAAAATCGAAAATGTAACATTTTGTGTCGTGTACATTTAGCATGTAACACTGTGTACATAAGCATATCAATTATTAAAACCAGTCCATAAGAGGTTATTATATGAGAAAAGATGCACTAAGATGCCATTTATTATGTGCTGTGTGTTTGTGGTATCCAGGGAGAGAGGAATGAACACATTCCAGTTCAGACCTCACTGTGGGGAAGCTGGAGCTGTCACTCACCTGCTGGCCTGTTTCATGACTGCAGACAACATCTCTCACGGTCTCAACCTCAAGAAGGTTAATACACCATTTACCCTGACCATTAGGGGCACAGTTCATCTTACCACCTCACCTTACCCCCATACACTCTTTCTGTCTTCAAAATATACACAAGAAACACAACACTCACTGTCTCTTCACGTTCCACAGAGCCCTGTCCTGCAGTATCTGTATTACCTGGCTCAGGTCCCCATTGCCATATCCCCACTCAGCAACAACAGTCTGTTCCTAGAGTACAACAAGAACCCTCTGCTGGAGTTCCATAATAAGGGACTGGTGATCTCCCTGTCCACCGACGACCCCATGCAGTTCCACTACACTAAGGTCCGCGGCTTCAACCCTTTTCATATGTGCAGATTAGATGCTGCTTCACCCTCTCTTCCTTTCATTTCATACCCGTGCGTTTATCTGAATCATGCATCAACAGGAGCCCCTTATGGAGGAGTATGCCATTGCAGCCCAGGTGTTTAAGCTCAGCACCTGTGACGTGTGAGATTGCCAGAAACAGTGTTCTCCAGAGCGGCCTGTCTGCTGAGGTGAGGTCACCTGACCGAACACATCACTATTTTTTCCGTATGTTGATTTGACTGATCTAGACAGAAGGTATATTCTGTTATAATATAGCAAATGTTTTAAGTTTTTTAAAAATAAATACAGGTAAATACAGATAATGTCTAATGTTTTTGAAGTAATAAATAATATAATTATTTTAGCAATTCCATTTGGTGATGCTACTGGTGCTAAAATTGTTAAATTAAATTACACAACTTCAAGTGTAACCCTGTGTCATGATATATATACAGTATATA